TAAATTTTCAGGAATTTTGCAAGCAGGTTGACTTTACATTAGTAGCTTGAAATTGGCTATGGTGGGAGTATTTATACCATAGAAATTGGCAAATGCTACAAACCAGGGTTTTTTTGTTTTTTGTTTTTTTTTCCTTCTGGAGAGCCAGTTTACCAGTACACCATTATATATGGCCAATATTTCAGAGGCTGACAACTTGATGATGACAAATCAATAGGGCTAGCTCGAAATAACTAAGTTCTTGTTATTGTATTTGTATTTTGAAAGCCACACATTTGGAGCATGATTGTTTATACACAGAAGCAGACAGGAAGGATCAAAAATCAAGATCTATGTATTTGCTTCTTACAGCCCCCAGGTCGGGCTGCCGCATGCATGCAGCATGTTGTTAAAATTCGTGCTCCGAGAGGAGATAGCCACCTTCTGGAACTTGTGATAGCAGCTCTTCCCAGCTCCCACACCGATAACACAGCTCACAGGTCTCACGTGCACCATCATATTTTAGATACAGTGAGCGTCTTCGACTGTTTCTTCAGGGGAAGAAAAAGATTCACAGGATTGGGAGGTGGAGGCTCCGATTGATTATAGTCTATAGGGTTGGAGCAGGTGGAGACTAATGAGAGTTGACCTAACGTTTCAAGCTCTGCGTGAGAAAGGACTTAAGGGAAAATTGCATGGAGAGGCAGGGCGTTAAGTGTTTCTCACCGCCCAGAACATCTTCGAGTTACACCACACAGGGGCACGAGATGGATGATTTGTGATGTTTCAGAGGCAAACGTGTTATTGGACAAGACTCGTGCGAGGGATAGATGATAAGACGTAGGTCATGTATTTCTCCGTTTGTTTTAAAGTGACAGCAAATGCATAGATGAACACCTCCAGTGTGTTTCTTCAGAGACTTAAGACTGAATGTACTCCATTTAAAAAGACCTGTGAGATGCAAGAGCCTCTTGTAGTTCCCCTTCCCCACTGACTTCGTGGTAAGCATTTGGAAAATCTGGATGATTCTAAGAGATTGTGTTAGACTGCATTGTTTTTCACCTTTTCTGATGTCTTCGTGAAACAAGTTAATAGCACTACTTATGAGAAAAGAGAAAGCAGCTTTCTTCAGTCATCCTTGGACTGAGCAAATTATTATTTTTTTGGGAAGAGGGCTTTACTTCTAAGCTGGTGGCATTTCTAGGGCTTAGATTTTTAATGGAATACTATAAATATTTCCCAAAGGATAAGATACCATCTGTAGCTAAACAACTTGGGATTCTGGCATTGATAGCATCCAGGCTTTATTATATTAGAAAATATGAACCTGGGATGCCTGGGTGGCTCAGTCGTTAAGGGTCTGCCTCCGGCTCAGGTCATGATCCGGGGGTGCGGGGATTGAGTCTGGCATCAGGCTCCCTGCTCGGCGGGGAGTCTGCTTCTCCCTCTCCCTCTGCTGCTCCCCCTGCTCGTGCTCTCTCTCTCTTTCTGACAAATACATAAAATCTTTAAAAAAAAATATGAACCAATCGATGACCTCGCTCTTCAACACAAAGAAAACAAAGGATTTTTTAGTCAAGAGGATATTTATACTATTTTGATTAAAATTAAGTTCCTGAAGATCAAGGGAGTCCTGATGTTTGGTAACATGATCCTAGAACAATAGAGCTCAGGAGTAACTTTAAAGGTGCTGCTGCTATTCTTGAGGTCAGAGATGGTGAAGAGAATTAAGAAAGGAAATTTCATGAAACTCATAGATGGGAACAGAGTTCTGCATCTTGTGTTGAAGACTCAAGAGAAACAGCTCTTTACCTCAGGAGAAATAGAGTTTTGGCAAGCTGAAATTAAACAAACAAACAGCTAAGCAGCCCTGCCTGACTAAAGTAAAAGTCTCACTTTTAAAATAGTCTATTCTGAAGTCGCTAACGACTGGCTGTCTCTTTATTAGGTGAAAATTCCTACCATTAGTATTTAAACACAGACTGTATGACCAAGAATCTATTGTAAAGAATAATATTGAATATGCCAATAATAGCTAATCTGTATTAAATATGTCATTATTCAAATGAGAATTAAATGAGATTATTTTTTATTTCTCCTCATAGCAGTTGCTTTTTATAAACTACCTTTAAGATGAAAGATTTTTCAATATAAAAGAGCATGCCCATTCTAGAAAATTTTATCAACTGAGAAAAGTAGAAAGAAAAAAATATATAGTTCTATTTATTTATTTATTTTAAGAGAGAGGGAGAGTGAGTGGGCACAAGTGGGGGGAGGGAGAGAGGGAGAGAGAAAATCTCAAGCAGACCCCACGCTGAGCAGAGAGCCCGATGTGGGGCTTGATCTCACAACCCGTGAGATCACAACCTGAGCTGAAACCAAGAGTCAGACACTTAACTGTCAGAGCCATGCAGAAGCCCCTATAATTCTGTCACCAGAGGCAACTGATGCCAACATTTTATTTCCTTCTAAAATTGTTTCAGGTTATGATTGCATACTCTCTTACTACCCATTTTTTTACTGCTACTGCAGTTAATACTATTACCACCTTCTTCACCCGCCATTTTACTGAGAGTCACATTCTGTTTGCACCGGTCTTCGCGTGTAATTCTGTCGAGATGGTAATTTGTTTCCAATTTTACTGAGAAATCATTGACATGTGTCGTTCTATGAGGTTAAGGCAGACAGCATGGTGGTCCAATTTACATTTATTGTGAAATGATGACTACAGTAGGTTTTAGTTAACAACCATCATCTCCTATAGATACAATAAAGAGAGAAAAGGTTCCCCCAACAGTTCTCTCTCTGTGTCCCAGAGCGGTGTTACCTGCGGTCATCATGCTGTGCGTCACATCCCTGTACTTCCTTACCTTCTAACTGCGAGTCTGTGCATTTTGATTGCCTTCCTCCAATTCCTTCTTTTCCAATTCCCCACCTCTGGTGACCACATATCTCATCTCTCCTCCATGAGTTTGGTGTGTGTGTGTGTCTTTGTAAAATTAGATTCCACATATAAGTGAGATCATACACTATTTGTTTTTCTCTCTCTGACTTATTTCACTCAGCATAATGGCTTCAAAGTTCATCCAGGTTGTCATCAATGGTAGGATTTCCTCTTTTATGGTGGAACTATATTCCATTGTGTGTGTGTGTCGCGAGTGCCTGTACCTACCACGTGTCCATCCATCAGTGGACACTTAGGTTGTTTCCCTGTCTCGGCTGTTGTAAATAATGCTGCTGTGAACATGGGGGTGCAGATATCTTTTCAAGTCAGTGTTTTTGTTTCTTTTGGTTATATTCCCAGATGTGGAATTTCTGGATCATACGGTAGATCTATTTTTAATTTTTTGAGAAACCTGCCTACTGCTTTCCACAGTCGCTGCACCAATTTCCATTTCCACCAGCAGTGCACGAGGCTTCCCTCTTGTCCCCATCTTCACTAACACTTGTTACCTCTTGTCTTTTTGATGATGGCCATCCTAACAGATGTGAAGTGATATCTCCTGGTTTTCTCTTATTCTAAATGTTCTTATTATCTAAATTTCTCTTTCATCTCTACATTCTCTTATAAAATATTCTCTTCCTCTAAAAACAATTCTGTATTCTGCTTTTTCACTTAAAAATAGTATAAGAATTTCCCCCATGCCGTTAACAGTCTTCATAAACAATTTTAATTGCTTTGTAACAGTCCATTCTAAGTATAGTTTTCATAATGGTAAATTTTTACTTGTTTTAATTTTTTTATATATACATTTTTATTATTAAATACCAAAACCATCACAAAACATAACATGTGATGGTGATAGTCCAGTTGGCCTGAGGTCTAGAGGAAAAGGCACCCAGAAGTGGGGAGGGCTAACGCTTTAGTCAGTAATCACTACTCAGGTCATTTCTTTGAGAACCACTTGTGAGGCAGATGTGGACAAGGACCAGCTCATAGTCAGATACTTGTCAAATTAACACTCTTAATATAAAATTCCAAACATGCTGCTTTCGCTCTGTGTTGTTAAGGTCTTGCTTTCATCTTATCTCCAACACCTTTCTGATTAGGCTCCTCCTCACAAGACGTTTCTTGGTTTCTCTTTAATTTTTGTATCCTTAGGGAGTCATTTGGAACTGCTTCTCCCCGGGAATCAAATTATCACCATCTTTAAGCTCTGCAAAATTTTCCTGTTAACCACTGAATCCCAATTATAGAATTTGTAAATATCTTCCCCACTGACTGCCTGTTTCATCCATGTCTAAATCCTGTCATGTTGAAAAACATCCTGTTCAATGGTTTTATCTGCCCGGTTACCTCATTTTAAGCCACTTGGAGAAATAGATTTTCTCTGAAAATGTGTAAGGTATGGATAAAAAACTATCACATTTCTACCAGTTCTTTCAAACCACTAATTAGGAATCCAGTTCTTATCATTTTTTAACCAAAATATTATTCTTGAACACCCGTACTCTAGCGTTATAGTAGACCCTTGGCATAGAATAGAGAAAAATCTAATGATCCCACCCTCATGGAGCATAAGGTCTAGTGGAAGAGGGCCAGAAAAAATAAGTAAACAAATTGTTTTTTACCATGCTGGTGTATAGTACAATACATCCTGATGTTCTTTTATTATATGTAGAGATAGTGATAATAGCGTTTGTTCCATAAAATTCTATTGTATCTTTTTCACATTTATTCTTAAACTAAATTGCAAACATCAATTTAAAGTGCTTGTCCATTGGTTTTCTCACAGTCTTTGTGATTAAAACACATTCTCAAACAAAATGGTATGCTATGCTTTTGCTTGTTTTTGGTTGGTCACACCTGCATTCAGTGATACTTTGTTTAAAGGAGAATTTCTCAGTGCCTTTCTGATGGCCACGGAATTACTTTGTTCTCAGGTCTTTCAGAAAGTGATTGGATGCCTAACAAGAAAATGCACTGTCGTGTGCCAGAACACTGTACGGCTCTGCTAAACTTCACAGACTATGAAAACGCTTGCCTGATGTGCCAATAAATTTTCCCTCTCTTTCCCTAGGTCCAAGGATCTCATAAAGGAAGCTATCCTTGACAATGACTTTATGAAGAACCTGGAGCTGTCGCAGATCCAGGAGATTGTGGATTGTATGTACCCAGTGGAGTATGGCAAAGACAGTTGCATCATCAAAGAAGGAGATGTGGGATCACTGGTGTATGTCATGGAAGGTATGGTTTGTAACTCTAATCCTCTGACATTCAAATATTCCTTTTTCATCTTATCAGCCTGCACACAGATGGTAATCTATTACATGGGACAGTTCCATGTTTCCCTACTTTTGTTGTTGAGAGGCAGTTTGGAAAGAGGTGGAACACGACTCAGATACAGTGGTTGACTAGTTGTATGAAGGGTTTGTGTTTAGAATATTAAGCTGAGAATCTGGTGTTGTTTTAGACATGGAGAAAGGCTGATAGGGTGAAAGAAAAGAAATGCTGTTTATTACACCGTGTAAGTCTGCACGCCATTGGGTCGTTGAGCAAGCTCACGGAGCTTCCAGAAGAGCTGGAAAGTATTTTTGGCCAGATGATCAGAATGTCAACTCTACCTTTAATTTTCAGTGTATGGCTAGGTTTCTTGCTATCATGCTTCTATAAAAAGAATGTTTTCAATGCTTTATATGTGTGTGAAAGAGGAAATCAGACTGGTCGGATGGCCTATGAGCTACCTAATTAGTAAGAGTGATGGATTGTTTCATAAATCTTGCCCCAATTAAGATAGAAAGTGCTTATAGGCAAGCACCATACAAATACACTTTATGCCTAGATAAATTTTCATATTGTCTATTTCTAACTTGGAATTTATAATGCCGTGTTTTCCTTCTGGGAGAAAACACAAGCCTGAAGTAATGGCTGGATCAGCTGAGGAAAAAGTGAGTTCCGAAGTGCCCAGAAGATCAGAGAGTTGCCACGCTAACATCACAATCAGTTTCTAGGTGGTGGTTAGTGTGTTACCCCAAGCATTCATGGCAGTGTCCTAGAATTGTCAAGTTGATAGGTCATTAAGAGAAGGGGTGTATTTGGGCAAGTGGACTTAACTTCTTTGAATTTTACCTAATTTGTAAACAAAAGGTCCTACCAATTGTCACTCCTTTCTGGCAGTAGATCTCAACTGGTGATGATCTGTCCCTCCACGGGACATTTGGCAATACCTGGAGACATTTTTGGTTGTCACAGTGGGAGTGGGGATAGATGGGGGGTGGCTACACGCATCTCATGGTTAAAAACCAGGAATGCTGCTGTGCTGGGCTGTTGCCCACAGCAAAGAATTATCTGGCCCAAACTGTCCTTAGTGTTGATGTTGAAAAATCCGGCTTTCTACCGTCTTTACAAGATTGTTCTGAAGTTAATATGAAATACTTGGAATAAATGTTATTGTAAAGTGTAAAACATTATAAAATAACAGTGTGCATTACTCTTTCTATTACATACTTGACAGCATATAAGAAATGTGCTGCCTGCATATGTCATTGACCTTTTAATTTTTCTTTGTCATCTTTTTTGACATATATTAGGCATTCAACTTTTAAGTCATAATTTTGATCATTTTTTTTTCTCCGTAAGTTTTCAGCTTTTGGGTCAATATTATGAAGTTTTTCCCCAGGCCAAAAGGAAATAAATGTTCAACTAGGCTTTTTTCTGAATAAAAGCAAGACACTATAAACAAAAACATAAACAGTATTCACTTGGCAGACAATTGCAGGGGAAGGAGATGAAATTATAGGGCCAGAGTATATGTGGGTAGTAAGCAGAAAAGATGAGAAAAATGCAAGAAATATACAGAGGCCAAGTATAAACTATAAATATATAGAGAGATGTTAAGAAGTGCTGACAATTAAAAAAACAAGTTTAAAGCATTTCTTAGATTATAGTTCATCAGTGGTTTCATGGTTGATTTTTTAGATAATTTATTGTCAGTCACGTTTGTAAGAACATCCCTATTGCATAAAGGAAGATGCACCTCACTTCCCCATTTGCAGATGCTAATTATTGAAAATCCATTCAAGAACCGGATATTTCCAGAACCTGTATGTTGTTTTCCTTTATCTTGAATATCTCTTACGAAAATAGATTTCCACACAACCTTGCAAATTTTTTCCAAAGAAAATCTCTTTATCCATACTATTCTGGTTTCTAAGACTAACTGCTAGTTTACTAGCTATGTTAGAAGAAGCTTAGAAATCATAGTATATATTTACTAAGTGCTTATAACAAGGTCCAACATATTGAACATGCTTTGTATAAACACTTTCCATGTATAAAATTTATTTAATGTTCAAAACAATCCTATGAGGTAAGGGATAATATTTATTATTCTTCTTTATAGATGAGGAGAGAGAGGCCCAATAAGGTTAAGTAACTTGCCTGTGTCTCCCAACTAGTTTATAGTAGAATTAGGACTGAACCCAGGTTACCTGGATATAGAGTTCCAGCCCTTAACTATGGGGCTATGTGTTAGTCAGGGTTCTCCAGAGAAACAGAGCTGATAGATAGATAGATAGGTATCGATGGATAGATATTTATTTTAAGGAATTGGCTCATGTGATTGTGGACACAGGCAAATCCAAAAGCTGCATGGTAAAGGCAATAGACTAGACATCTAGGGAAGAGTTGATGATGCTACGGTTCAAATCTGGAAGTTGACTGCTGGCAGAATTCCTTCTTCTTCTGGAGAGGTCTGACTTTTTTCTATTAAGCCTTCAACTGATTGGATGAGGCCCACCAATATTATGAAAGTAATCTGCTGCTCAAAGTCTACTGATTTATATGTTAATTTCATCTAAAGAATACCTTCACAGAAGCATGTAGGATAATGTTCGACCAATAATATCTGGATATCGCGGCCTAGCAAGTTGACACATGAAATTAACCATCCCAGGTCCTCCCCTTGTCAACTCAGCACCTGTGTGCATCTCCTTAAACCATGCTTAATCTCCAAATAAAGACAGCAGCAAGGTTGCAGCTCCGCCTACCATGACATGACGATTCTGAGTACAACTGAAAATCCACTAACAATTTCCCCAAAAAGAGTACAGAGTTCTTGGGCAATATTTACTCTTCTTCTTAATATCCTGTAATTTAAACTCTGTGTTATAAAGCTAATACTTAAATACTGTGATGTAAAGTCGATATATCTTATGTTACATGTTAAGGGGGTATGAGAGAAGAAAACCAAGAATTTGGTGCACATACATACACACAAACATATTTAAAACAAAATAAGGAAGAAATATCCATGACGGGCTTCCCGAGGTAAAGGTAAATATTACTAAATTTTCCTCTACTGCTTCAAGCTAATTTTGAAAAATTTTATTTATCTTCCTTTTCCTGCTGGATTGACTAAACAGCAAGTCATCTTAATTATCTTTTTTGAAACAGGGTTTTAAATAGTGTATCAATATTCAGAGTCACAGATTTTGCAGTGATGCTGTTGATTGCCTTCAGTTAAACTCACTAAAGTGACTATAATCTTATAAACTGCTGCCGATCTGTCTCCAAGCTGTAATTCTAACCAGTTACTTGGGCTGATCTTGTGCTAATTTCCTTGTGTCAAAATAATTTCAAATTAAAAAAAAAAAGTCATTTAAATTTTTATAAGTTTTAATTGAAGAAATGTTTCATTGTTTAATTAGATTTTTATCAATGTATTTAATCTTCTCAAAATTTAGATAGCAGTGTTCTTGATAGAGATGGATTCTTTTTCATCTGTGAACATTAATATTTATAAAGAACATTTCATAGCAACAATGGATGAGTAGGCTATGGAGGATCATTCACAAACTTGCTTTTATCCAGACATTCAGAAAAACACCCAGGGAGTTTACGTGGAAAATCAGTCCAATTTTCTCTGTCTCTCTTTATCTAAATGAAGTTTCTACGTATAATGCTGTTTAACATGTGCCTTAAGTGGTTTTCATTTTAGCTGGGCAGTGTCCCAAGTAGGATTGCACACCTAAATGCCAGAATTTCTCATCATTTTAGCAAAAGAGAAGAGTCATGTGGTAAGGACTTCACTAATTAGGATGACTGGGGAAAAATCATCTGGGTGTAGCATAAATATATTATATATTTTCAAGCAAAATGAGTTGTGTGACTTTCAGATACTTAAAGTTGCTGGCTAGGAGAAGTTTCAATATTAAGTTTGAGTCAGAATCTTTTGGTATTAGTTTTTTTAAGGCAGTACCGTAAGTAGGTTAAGTTGCTAAGGTTCTGTTTACATTTTAATTATGTTTTCAGATATATCAGTGACGCTTACAAAATACTTGAATACAGGTTATTTTCCTAAACAGACTTTGGCCTGGATTATGATGTAAAATTTGTTGCTATCCTCATACTCTTCCCCTCCCTTTTGTTATCATAGAGATACATTTTAGTCTATTGTGTTTCAAAATAAAACATGTTCTGATTTAGTGCCTTTCAATGGTGATGTGAGTAAAACATCTTCTCTATGAATCTAATCAAATAGTTTCGTATTGAAAAATGTCGAATTTGTATCCGTCAAAGTGGTTGATTTGCACATTTCCTGTGATGTTTCATTGTGGAAGAGGATAGATTACATTTTACATCCTAAAAAAAAAAAAGAAATTGCAAGTCGTCTGTTGAGTGTTCTGTGAGCACTGGCTGTTTTAACTTAAACTTTTTAATGAAATCATCGATTTTTTTTATGAGGTGCTTGTTAATGATAATAGCTTTTATTAAGTACTTATAAATGCCAGGGACTGTTTAATCCTTTTATAGGTATTAAATTTTAATCTTCATAGCCACCTTAAGGAGTAGGTATTCTATTATCTGCATGTTAGTAGCTGGAGAACCTGATGCAAGGACAAGGTGAGTAACTTGGCCAAGATCATCCCACCAGTTCATTGAGGTGCGAACTGCACCATCTGCCCCCGAGTTCCCATACGTGTTGATGGGGCGACATTAACTTTCGAAGTGCACGTTAGAGGGCCTGGGGGTATATATTTGTTCTGTATTATTATGCCAGTTTTAGGAGCCCATTAAAGATGTGCAGCATGAAACCATAGGATAAAGAGAAATGGTTTGATTATTTTTAAGGAAAAGATAGAACTTGAATGGCGATAGGGCAAAGAGAGAATAACCCAGACGTTCCCATAAATACCTCCTAGGTCTCTCTGCATTCTTTCAACACTGAACTGCTTGTCGACCTCTCC